TAAAAGATTATCGCCACTAGTTTGTTTTTCCGTTGCACCACCACCGCCACGTGCACTTGAACGTTCATACAATGGACTTTTAGACCATGTTGCCATTATTGATTGAATTTCAAGTATATTATTTTTCGATTTCTGAAGACGTTGTTCAAGATCAAAGACTACTGTTCGAGTACGTAATATATATTCACCAATACCTGTATCAGTGTACAAAAAAATTAAACATCGGATTACTAAAAGTAAGGTAAGAATCTCGCTCCTCAATTTCTAGATGTAATTTTGATAAAGGCTTTAGTCTAATAAATGAATGTCTTACCAGATGTTGACCAAGTTAATTTATTTTCTGCATCAGATAATTGTTGATCAATAGTTTGAAGTTGTTGTTCAATTAATGGATATTCAACTTCAGCAACTGTTTCACGAATTTTATTATATGATGCTATTGTATAATTTAAATTGTTAATATATTGTAGATATGTATCATTATCTTTGTAAATATCTAAAGCAGCTTGAGGAATATCTTTACGATCTTTTATTTCTAAATAACGAACTTCACGTAAAACTGTTTCAAGCTATAAAAAAAATGAAAATAAATATAAATTTTTCTTTTATTCAATATATGTTACATACTTGTGGATGAAAATTTAAATGTATTAAATGATTTTTTGGATTTCGTGTAATTAAATATTGATTAAGATTAAATTTTGATGCTTCACTTACATTATTAGCCCATTCTTTATAAAGACTTTCAATAAATTTATCAATAAGTTGATCTAATTCATTATATTTTTCTTCTATACGTTTAGCTTCTGGTGTTTGTGTTGTTCTAATAAAAAAGAATTACATAAAAACAACAATGCTTCTTTGTTTTTCTCAATAAATTATCTTACTCATTTTCTAATTGTCGAAATTGTTCCATTGGTTGTGTATATCGTTGTTTAAGTTCTTCAGCCCATAATAAACTGCCAGCAACTTTTGTCATATTACGATCAAGTTGAATAGAACCATGTTCTTCTTGATAAGACATTTGTCGATCAAATAATTCTTTTGCATCATCCATTTCACGTTCAACTTGTTGAATAAGAATTGAATAATTATGTGCGAAAACATGATGAATTTTCGGACGATCAAGTAATGATCCAAATATATTAACTAATTTAAACATAGCTTCAAGACCATTACAATCAGCAAATGCTTGATTAGCAATACGACCTATACGTCGATCAAGATCATCAATTATATCATGAAAATGTGCTATATCATCCACAAATTCCTATTAATAAAATATAATGATATAATCATTTTAAAGTTACGAATTACATATTTCATTTATTTAAATATTCAACGGTATCAATTACAAATACTGATACTTAAAATTTATCAAATAACGCAAACTTCACATAACTCTATATGTGAAATTAGAGAAATAACTTTAAGCATGGGCCATTTTGCCCTTCCGAGATATACGCCCTTTACTAAACGTTTGTTCCCTCGAAGGTAAAATCCTGGAGAACAGATGAGGAAGGCCTGGCAGAAATTAACAAAATTATTTGTCAATACCATGACAGATAATCAATGCTAGTAATAATAGGAGAAGTACGGCAGCAAGGCTTCTTTTAAAAACTTTTTAAAATGGAATGAAACCTATAAAATAGTATGAACAATTTCATAGTCATAGTAATGAAGGTCGATCAATTTTTTTCAAGTTCATTAAGCCAGTATTTATTCTCTCATCTACGGCACTGCACACCTTCGAGATTTAAATAAAATACTAATATAAGCAATTGCATAATATACAATGAGGAAACCGCTAATCACTCCTAATCACATCTAATCATTATTAAAGGACGAGGTAGGTGTGGGTGGAGGTGCGTGCGAATAAAAAAAATAATTACATCCACACCCACCCATTATTACTAAGAAATACTAATCACTACTAATCATACCTAATTAAATAATCAGCTGTTTTCCCCTTGCTCAAAGTATTCTATACAATTTTTTTCCTGTAATACTATAATTAACAATTATATATTTACCGTATTTTTTGTATCAAGTGGATTATAGGTTTTTGCACTGAATTTTTCAAATGTATCCTTAAATTCTTCATAAATTTGAAATATTTCTGCAGATAATGCTCGACCTAGATAATGGATATTAAAATAATTCTAGAAAAAACTTCGTTTTTTTTTCTAATCTACCTTTTACACCACCAATTTCAACTTTTTCAAGTTTAAGAAAAGCATTTGCTATTGAAAATAATTCTTTAATTTTATTCATTCTTTCCATAAAAATTTTCCATTTAGTAAATACAAGTTCAGGTGAAAAATCCCATTTTGTATCCATTTTATTTCGTGTTAATTCATATTCATCATGAAATTTTTTTA